TTGAACCGCGAAGACCTAGATTTTGCTTTCTTCAGTAGTATATAATAGTCATTTTTTTAAGAAATATTGTTTTTTATTTGTTAATGTTAAAATTTTAAAATAATATAAATGTAATAAATATATATTTTTATTTCTATTTATACTGTGTATTGAAAATTCTTTTGAAAAATAAAAGATATATAAACTTATCTGAAATTACGTTAAAATAAAAAATTTAATATTTTTTAATCTGAGTGAAACATGATTTTGAGCAACTATATATTATATGCTATAAATCTGTAACGCAACGCAACAAAGTATATCCTTTTTCCCGAAGTATTTGATATCTGCAATGGAAAGCAATAAGGCGTTCACGTCAAAGCAAATGGGATAAACACGCGTCATTAATTCAATTTATTTTGTCATCTTTAAAAATAATTAATATCAAATTTACTTTCATTTTATTTCCAGAGGATTAGTTGGGTACCGTAACTTTTGAGTAACCAGTTATCTGCCTTCTCTTTTTTTTTTCTTCATTCTCCTGTCCTAATCTTCAATTCGTTCGGCAATCATGTCTTCCTGTTCGTCCAGCTTTCTTACTTGTAAAAGACATTTTTTATGGTTATGTCAGAAAAGGTTCATTGGTAAGGATATTGAATGCAATCATCAAAATAATCAATTATCTTGCTTAAACTCTTGATGTATATTTATCACCTTATTTTAGTTCCAATTTTAAATTTTTAATTGAATTTCATATTTAAAAATTTGACCTAAATATAATTTATAATAATTAAATTTATTGAGTTTGTGAAATAAAAACGTTTTAAAAAGTGACTTATATTTGTTGACATAGTTAAAATCGTTTAAGAAATTACAAAACACCTTCAAAATAAAACAAAAATCAATAAATTTTGAAAGAAAAAAAAAATCTGTTTTAAAAACCTTTACTTTACTTATACACTCTCCTTTAGATGGATCACATGAAATCCACTTCAAATTCTATATTTGCCTATTTTCACCTCACAAACTCAGATTAGATCACGTGTCCTGATACCACATGGTGATCCTAACACATTCATTTGAACCAATCACATGTCGCCACGTCATCGTCACTTTCAACACTCTCGCTAGGTTCGTTCATCGAAGCAACCTCCGCACCCCCCTTTTGAACCACCACGCATGTCGCCGGTGAACCACCACAGCACCGTCAACGTCGAGCCACTGCAGCGTTCCTGCACCGTGCCGCGAGCACCACAGCGCCTTTACCCATCAGAAACCACTGGATCTCCATCTTCTCGAAACGCGCCTCACCATGGAACCAGATGTTGAACCACTGCAGCACCTGAAAATCGCGAACACAGACTGAGAGTAGCACCATTCTCCAACACAGATTCGAAACGCAAGCCATCGGGGAGCCCTACCGTGACGCACCAAATCTCCACCACGCGAACCAAATTGGCATCCACCGCAGCTCCCTGAACCTCCAATCGTGTAACCATGGCCAGCCCCCAAATCGCGAAACCCTCGCGCAACAGTTCTCGTGCCGATAAAACGCGAATAGTTTACCCATGCATCGAACCTCCTTCTTGCACGACAAAGACGAGGCAACAAAACCCTATTTGAGAAAAAAAGGGATCTGTCACGTGATACTCTCTTACTGGATAGTCAACCTGATGACAAAATAAGAAGAATTAAAATGTAAATATTGATATATTTGAGTTTTTCTGCCATGTGAATGCAAAGACTCACTTGAGTATTACAGAAAATTAAATTGTTGATAATGTATTAGATATTTTATAAAATATTTAATTTAATTATATATAAAATTATCAACGGAAAATACTTGCAAAATATTTTTAAGAATTGATTGAATTTGTTAATTATTTGAAAAATATTATAGATGAAAGATTTTATTTTCAGAAAAGTTAAAATCCAAGTTCAGTAGAGTTTTATATAAAAAGTTTTAGGGAAAACAAAAATGAGACATTAACAATTATGATTTTGTGTGGTTCTTGTATACCAAATTTCTCACCTTTTTTTTCATTTTTCTTATTTTTCTTATTTATTCATTATATATTTCATCTTATTCATGAAAGACTAATAATTTAGGATTTAAACTCTCTATTTATAAATTGTAATGAACTTTTGTTTATCACTATAATAATTATAATCAAATCTTAAATCAATTACCAAATTAATTTGTAATAATTTTCTTTTTGGAATTGGATAACAACATTCAATCGGCTGTGTCTCAACTGATCGACTTGCTACTCGGATTCTATTTTGGAATTTAGCTAACCTCATATATGTAATTATCAATAATTTTTATTTGTTTTTATTATGTATTAATGATAAGTAAGAAAAATGTATTGTGAGGGCCGACCGATCATGATACCATCCTACAATCAAATACGTCGAGTTTGAGCCAATAACGTGCACTACATAATGGACGGACATTCACATGAATACACCAAATGTCAAGTCAAGACCAGACACCTTCAACAAACAGAAATGCACTAAGACAATTAGACGGAGACAGTAAGTATGACCGGACGACCGTAGGCATAACGTCCGATCTCCTCTAAAGATTAAGGTAATTAGTACTTAAGGGCATTGGACTGAGATTGAACCGTGATTAAGGTCTCAATATAGGTCAAAGGTAAGAAGTAAGTGATCACATTTAATGTATATTGCATTGAGATACCATACATATAGTTCATTGACTTTATTATCAGATAACCTTTGGCAAATACACCTCCGGACGTTGAAGTAAAGACGAAGACTCGAGTTAGATACCAGACAACTTTATTAGATAAATTGTGCAGATGTTTGAAGTGACTCGATCTCATATCCGATACAAAAAACAAAATTTATATTTCATGAAAAAAAATGTCTTATAAAAATTACTACCATTTCTTTTCTAAATTATATTTATTATATTAAAAAAATGAGAGTAATGTATTCTAAAATGATATTTTATTATAACCATTAATCAATTTATCACTTCTCCGAAAGTATTTACAATAGGAAGAAAAAGAAAAATATTAAAATAATTTTTTTATAAATTGAAATCATTTTATTCATAAATTAATTTGTTGAACATGTTTAATGAATTTCTAAACGTTTTACTTTTAAATTTTATATAAAGGAAGAAAAAGTTAATCTTTTTTTTTACTTGAAAGTAGTTACAGATTCATTTAAATGTATCTTAATATTTAATATTATTGCATTAATATGTTTAGTCTTTAAGTTTATATTTTTTACAACAGGCGTTGATCATTGATATGCATTAAAGTTAAAGACTAAATATGAAAACGGTAAAGTGGTAAAAAATATTGAATTAGAAATCAAATTGAGAAATGCTGTTAACGAAGACTAATATAATCAATAATTGGGAATTTGTGAACTATTTTAGTTTTCAAATTTCAAGGACCATAAAATAAGAAAAAAGCATTCAACCTATTTTTGGAAAATTATTTATTTCAAGTAACCAATTAATGATTAATTTATTCTTTACTCTTTGAGGAAATTTGTAATTTATTTATTCATTAAAAAATAAAATAATTGTACAAGAATTTTAGATAAAAAAACCGTTACAAATGACATATTTTTTAATAGTAAGAACGATTTTCAATAAGTATACAATTGTAGTGAAAAATAAAATAATATAGTATATGGATATAAAGACAAGTTAAATGATAAAGATATACAGTTGTTCTTATAAATGCAAAGGTCCCTGACGCGGAAAAAAGATAAGAAGAGAAAAAAAGTCAAACAACCTCAAAATCCAATCTCTTTCAACAAATTGAGATGTTTTTAGTAAATTTTGGTAGAAGGTAACATAACATAATTGTAATCTGCATCACATCTTTTCAACACATTTTTTTATTAAATAAAAATATTTATAACATATTCTTTAAACTTTAATATATATATATATATATATATATATATTATAAAAAAATTGATAATATATTTTTATTTGAATGTATAAGAAAACTATATTACAAGCATATCCCTTTCTGCAAATATATAAAATTTAGGTTTAGCCGATTGGGATTAGGTAGGAGATCAACACAAGATTTAAAAAGGAGCAACTTTACCTAACATCTCAACCCACCAAGAGCCACCTGCACTAAACAAAACAATAATTAAATTATAAAAAAACAATTTAGATTGTGATATTTTTAAGTATAACTCCTTCTGTTCCAAGTAGATAAGAGACACAGCACAGCACACATCTTTAAAAAATTGTATTCATTCTCCCACAGAAATAAAATATATGTATTTGTTTTTAAAGTAATGGATTTTATGCTCAGATAATAATAGCAGAAGCATTTAAAATAATATGAGAGTCCTTACTTTTACAAATACCAACAATAAACATTAAAATAATATTACGATAAAAAAATAAGTAAAATTAATTTTAAAAATTCAATCGTCTTTATAAATAAAAAAATAGAATAGTATAAAAAGTTATAAACGAAGGGAAAAAAACAAGTGAAATGACGTCAAACAAGTCATGGCAACAAACATTTTATGATTTTTTAAGCATTTTCATTATTGATGTAGTATGAATATTATCAATATGTTTTTTTATATATTTTTCTAATACATTTTTGTCAATATATCCTATTTTTATTATTTGAAATTTACAAGACATTCCATTCTATGCTATTGATCGATCATGAAGGTTGAAGTAAGTGAATCCGTAATATGATTTTTAATAAATAGAAGATTATATTAGAAAAATGAAATATTAAATACATTTTATTGTTATTATTTCTTTTAACTGAAGGATTTTCTATTACATAATGACGAATATATTTGTATATTACTATGTTTTCTTTTTCTACGACGTATATTACTATGTTACTTGTATATATGCTTATGTAAATGTACAAAACCGATGTTTAAGATTCGGTGCCACGACACCGCAACTAAAAAAGAGCAAATACTTAACTTCTAACCCTCGAAGAGACAACGGCAATGAACAAAACAAAAAGCGAACACGAATTTAAAATTGTGATATTAAGTTCCAAGTAGAGAAGAAGCAACACGCTACTCAATAACATCTTCATTCATTTTCCCACTTTCCATATCAACTTTCTTCTTTCGATTCTAATGATAATTTCACAGTCTCCCTGAAACCTTGACTGCGAGGGACAGTCCCCATGGACCCCTACCAGAAAGAAAAAAGTAATCTTTGTAACAAATCACAAGTCACAAGGCCTTTGCCGTTGATGGGTAGGAGGAGAGTCCAACTGTTTGATGAGAAAAGTGATGGGTTTTTTTCTGTCAGCTGCTTGGGGTTTCAATCCGAAGATAGGTGCTACCAATTCGGAGGCTTGTTTGCCAGTGTTAGTCAGATGGGAGTGGGGGTTGGTGTGCAACCGAGTGATCCTTCTGATTCGCGCGACAATGGTGACACGAAACTTCCCTTCAATGAACTGTTCATCAAGTACCAGGGAAAAGATGAGGTTGTTGAAGAAAGGGTTGATGGCAAGAAGAGAAAGGGTGGTGTTTCACTTAGGCTTAAGATAAAAAACCCTTCACTGAGAAGGTTGTTTAGTGGGGCAATAGCTGGGGCTGTGTCTCGGACTGCTGTGGCACCTTTGGAGACTATAAGAACTCTTATGATGGTGGGGAATAGTGACCATTCGACCACTGAGATGTTCCATAATATCGTGAAAACTGATGGCTGGAAGGGCTTGTTTAGGGGTAATTTTGTTAATGTCATTCGGGTTGCGCCTAGCAAGGCCATTGAGGTAATGTATACATGCTTCTCCTACACTTGTAACATTTATCACTGCATGATGTTTGAGGCTTTACTTGTTTTCTCTCTTGGATTACTCGATTGACATCGTTTTGTACAATTGTCCTATACTGAGAAGATGGTGTATCGTCTATTTGATCACTGGTTTTGATACCAAGAGTGGGTTTCTGTTCATTTTAATTACTTTTTTCTTGGTTTGTGCATTTGTTTATACCATGGATCAAAAATTCAGTCCTATCTTTGTACTTCTTTGAAAATGGGATTGATTTCATTATATTTTATTGTTGGCTACTTAGTATGAAACAAATGTTTGAAGGAGTATTCAACAGGGGGCATGAAATCACATTTGAAAAACTCCCAAGCTATACAAACTTAACATTTATTTGCTTCACCTTTCCTTCTCTGATTCGATTTTGCACGCACAAGAAACTGACAAAGATACCATCCCATTCTGCAGACAAATAAATCCCTTTTTGCTTGTTAATCTTCTGTAGGAAAATCTTACTGCTAGATGTAAAAAGCATTTAAAATAAAGCTACATGATAGTTTTTATCTAATCTCAATATATTTTCACCTGTTCCTGCAGCTATTTACTTTCGATACAGTGAACAAGAACCTATCCCCAAAGCCTGGGGAAGAGTCCAAATTCCCAATTCCTGCATCATTGATTGCAGGTGCCTGTGCTGGAGTGACTTCAACTATATGTACCTATCCTCTTGAATTAGTCAAGACTCGACTAACTGTCCAGGTATGTGCATAAAAAAGGTTAAAAAATGTTTGCTTGCTTTCCAATACAAGAGTCTCAGCATCCTATAAGAAAATGAAAGGAAAAAGTAAAACTTGATTAATGATTTGCAGAGAGATGTTTATGATGGTCTGCTTCATGCATTCTTGAAAATAATCCGAGAAGAGGGTCCTGCAGAACTTTACAGTGGTCTTGCAGCTAGTATTATAGGAGTTGTGCCCTATGCTGCAGCCAATTACTATGCCTATGACACTCTGAAGAAAGCATACAAGAAAGTTTTTAAACAAGAGAAAGTGGGGAATATTGAGACCCTTTTGATCGGTTCTGTAGCTGGTGCTATTTCAAGTAGTTCAACTTTTCCAATGGAGGTAGCTCGCAAGCAAATGCAGCTTGGTACCCTCAGTGGAAGACAGGTTTACAAGAATATGTTTCATGCCCTTGCATGCATACTAGAACAAGAAGGGATCCAAGGTTTATACAGAGGGTTGGTACCAAGTTGCATGAAGTTGATACCGGCCGCAGGAATCTCTTTCATGTGCTACGAAGCATGCAAGAGGATCTTCTTAGAGGACGATGAGGAGGATTAGGATGTTTCAAATAAAGTGCTTTGTTTCCATTGAGATCAAGAAGCGGAACTGCTTTGCTCTGTTCATGCTTACTCCAATAACTTATTTTGGATTTCTCTTTCAGTACCGAATTTTTTCCACCCTCACAGATTACGTTTATAAGGAATTGCGAACGGAGTATTGGTTTTGTCCTTTTTGTATTTTTCCATTTCATTGTCATCTTCATGGTCAAATCAAAATAAACTCTTTGATGTATTCTTGTCAATTTTACAAGTAACTGATTATTGACCTTTATGAATATGTTCATCTTCTCATAGAATCAATTGCTTTAGCATATGCAGCATTTTTTTTCTGTCTTATGCTTCACTGCTGCGACATCTTCTGATGCAGCATGTTTTTGTTTTTCCCATTTTCGAAGTCGATCTCTGAATTCTAAGACAGAATCTCACTTTTGGCAGTTAAATTTCAAACAAAATTTAGTCATGCAGATTTATCTAATCATTTTGTTGCACAGGGAAGTTCCCAGCAGCAGACAATAGTTAAGTGAAGCAAAAAACAAACATTGTTAGCCAATAATAGCAAAATTGCGAAGACAAATTAATAAGATCTTGTTTAGAAAAGAGCATAATTGTTTCTAAATTTGAATATTCAAGAAGTCATAATCTAATATATTGATAAGTTAAGTGAGTATTAGTCACAAAGATATTAATATTTGATAAGAACATCATAATTATAATCCAAGAACCAAGAGAATTTTTTCTCAAATAATGAAAATGCATGTAATTTCAAAAGTGTCTACGTATGTATTTGGTATCTTTATATATAAACACAAATGTTTTAACCAAGAAATTCTAAAAGAAAATACAAAGACATTAGGTCTAAAAATAACTTGAAAATTTAGAAACACAAAAGAATTGTTTGTAATTAAAAAAAAATTACAAATATTTTTAAGTGCCCAAACTATTGTATAATTGCTCTCCAAGGTATGATCTTTATGTCTCTTGATATACAATATTTATTGAGCATCATAGGTCTCAAGAAGATTTGTTTGTTTCTTGATATTGTAACAAGTTCTTTGAATTTCAATGACATTTTCTTAAGTTCTTCTTCTCAAGGGATAATCCTTTATCATTATTTCTTTTTTGAAGCGAAATTGTCCTCAAATTAGTATCTATATCAAATGAAGAGAAGTCATTAATGTTAAAACTAGAACTCACCCTATAATCATTAAATAGATTAACAATGTAAGTATTATCATTAATTCTTTTAAGAACTTGAAAAGGTTCATCTTTTCTAGATAGGAGCTTTGATTTCCTTTTGAAAGGCAATCTCTCCTATCTAAGGTGTACCTCGCCCAATCTTCTAGTTCAAACTTCATCTTCTTCCTCTCTTGGTTAGCTTTAGAAGTCAATTTCTTCATCTTCTTTTCAATTTGTGCCTTCACTTCCTTATGCAAATTTTTAACAAAAGTAGCTTAATAAGAACATATTCGTTAGTCATAGAATCAATATTAAACAAAGACAACAAATGTAAGAGAGTTAGAGGGTTAAAATCATAGACTACCTCAATTGGAAAGGTATGTGTAATATAATGAACTATAATAACTATGATTCTTACATCTTTCTTTTTTATTTTGTTTTTCAATTTTAAAATCAAGCAAATTTTAAAATATATTTTTCAGAAGTTATTAGATACCGAAACAAATGTTTATCATTTCTGAATATAATTTCCAAATAACATGATTCTTAAGAACATAAAATTATACTGGAAATCAAAATTCTCCTTTGGCGTTTTCAGAAGTGGTAGTCATCAATAGGCTATATAAACGTATCAGGTTGAGTGAAATTCTTGAAAGTTGGACATGAATTTTAAAATAACTAATGATTTAAACTTCTATCATTTATTTAACCGATTTTAATTCAAAAGTTGAGTTTTATTTGTTTAAAAATATTAAGTTTGAGTTTATTTGTTTAACTCGTTTATAATTTAATTAACTTTTCTGTTTATTGAAGTTTATCAATGTAGTATCTGAATTTTTTTCAGACTAATACGCCAATAAAAAAATAATACATAAACTGTTTTCTTAGAAAAATATTCAGGAATTAAAAATGAATCTAGTGATATATATGCGTGTGTAAATGAATGCGAAAAGTATTAACTTATGCTTACTTAAGTCTACTTAAAATTGGTATAATTAATTTCACAAACAAATTGGAACATTAAAAAGTCAGCGGAATTGGAATATAATTAGCTTCGGTTGTTTTACATCTTTAGTCACCCATTCTTAAAACTTGTGATTTCCAGAGCAATTTTTCAACGTAACGAGTCTATGGTAATTGTTTTTTTAGGGTAAAAACCTAAGCAGAAAGGCGATAAAGCAAACATTTTAAAGCGGCCTGGCTGCTATCCTGTTTCCTTTCATGACGATAGGGACTAATAATGGAACCCCACTATTCATGTTTTTTTAATTTCGTAGAGCCAATGCTCAGCCTTCTTAGAGGGAAGGCTGCCTCCAAGATTGAAGACAAATGACTGAAAATATTCTTCACTTCTTCCTTTATTGAATGGCAATATTCACATACAAATAGCAGGAGTTTGGTCTAACGGCACAAAGCACATTACCACTGCTCAGAAAACAGATCTGGCATATATCCTATTATTCTTAATAATTTCAGCAAGCAATAGTGAACACATGATTTATGATTACAAAATTAAAAAGTATTTTTATTAAAATATAATACTTAATTATCGCAATTTTTAATAAATATTTATTCATTGATTCTTTTAGTTACTATTCCAAAGACATTGAATATAAAAAGACACGCTCACAGTACGTGTTTGAATATATTTTCACACACCCCGAAATTCTTCTGAAACAATGGGTCTCCTTAATAATTGTCATTCATTTCTAAATTGCTCCGTCCCCTTCTGGAGATATAGAAAATCAACAGATGAGAGGACATGTAAAAGAACAAAAAACATCACCTTGTTTGCTTTCAATAAATATTCGCATAAACAATTTATATTTTGTGGGAAAAAAATATAATGCATACACCTCAACATTACTATTCTTGTAAGGACATGTAGATAAATAAACAATAGAAATACGAATGCTACAGAGAGGGTACATTCCCATCAATTTCAGGGGTTCAATCCTCCAAACAACTTTGATAGGCTGAAAATTCTTGCTATATACACGACAGCAACCTTGAGTGTCTCCAGACAAGAGGGAATACCAACAGAAAATGAATGTTTGTAAGAGAACTAACAGTTGATGCCACATTGACCATTGGTTAATCTGCTGGAGCCTGAGGTGAAGGGATCAATCCTCACCCAGAGCAAGGAGAATATTGAAGCAAGAAGAACCGACCAGACAATAACAATGGTTGGGGTACGATTTTGCCTGCCCAAGAGACCCTTCAAGAATGGGTATAAATGGGCAATGACCCAGATAGCAAAGAACAGCTTCCCAAATAGTGGACCCCAAGACTGGTAACCACTGTTTATGGCGTAGGATACACCAGCCACAATCCCTACCAAGTTCACAATAAGCACCGTCGTAGGAGGGATGAGAAGCGATGTCCATTTAAACACATAAAGCTCTGCAAAATCCCCATCCTCGTCCGATGCCTTTGATGTAACAGTAAAATTTGTATCTATCCCAGCAAGCACTTTTAGAAGCCCCTGAAACACAGCAAAAAGATGTGCAGAAGTTCCACCGATGACCCAGAATTGTTCATTTCTCCACCAGTCTTCTATGCTGACCCCACTCCACCTAAGCTCAAGAATTGAAGTAGTAAAAATGGAGACGAAGAGCAGAATAAACCACATGCTGGCAAAGTTGCTTATCTGCACGAGGTGAATCGATTGTTATTGAACTTCCAAATTTATGTAGTTCACATTGACAATTAGATCATACTAGGAATTATAAATTTATCAGCAAAAAATGAGAGAAATAGCTTACCTCAGGAATAATAAATTTATTTGTGAGGAGACAAAAGGCAGGAAGCGTACAGTAAGCAATCAAAGGGATTGAGGTAAAGGGGTAGACAATAGTGTTAATATAAGCAAGTCTCATCAGGGGCTTCAACCTTCCATTGTATCCATACCACAAGGGACAATGCCTGCTAAGAAAAATCTCAATTGAACCCAATGCCCACCGAAGCACCTGATTGAGACGATCTGAAAGATTGATAGGAGCAGAACCCTTAAATGCTGGGCGAGGTGGCATGCAATAAATGGAAATCCAACCACGAGCATGCATCTTAAACCCAGTCAAGATATCTTCTGTCACCGAACCATAGATCCATCCAATCTGATTAAGCCAGAAATGTTCAATTAATATCTAAACAAGCTACTCATCAATGCTCGTCTCATTTCTTCATACCAGAGAACAGGAATTAAGAGCACAACGCTAAATTGACTTGCTCACCTCTTTTCCCCATTCAGTCTTGTCTTCGTAACCACAGCTGATAACGTGGATTGCTTCCTTAAGAAGAGTTGCAGGGTTTGTTGAAGGTGGAATGCCACCCTGCTCCATGAAAGTGGCAGCAATAAAAACTGGAGACTGACCGAAACGCTTCTCCAAACTCTTTTGAGACATAAGCAGTGACCTTTCATCGTCATAACCTTAAAAAGGACACATTACTTATCACCAAGGATAAGATGTCTGTTATCTTGTTTTCAGATAATTCAGCAACTAAAGCAAATTAGAGAAAATTACAGGTAAAACTTGTCAATTACAGGTGACAATAAGAATACATGAAATAAGCATACAAAAGTTCACATGCATAAACAAGAAATCCATAGTAGCATACCTTCAACACCCTCCTCTATGTCTTCCATATTAAATATGGGAACAGTAGATTCAGTTCTGTTCATCGCCCTCTTCTTGTCAATGTACTTCTTATTCCCACCCTTTCCCTTCTTTCTAGAACCCCAACAACTCTTTACAATAATGTTAGGTTCCAAATCTTCCTCAGTTAGAACAGGATCATAACCATACAAAGCCTGCCTGTTGAAACAACAACCAGTTCCCACATAGACTGGACCCTGAATACCATCATGACCTTTCATGTTGATCTGAAAGGTAAAAAAGAGAGATGAAATTTAGCCAAGGCATTAGACAGCAATGCAAACAGAAAATATATTCTATGTCGAAACCTAATAAATTACACAAATTAACGTGAGACTTACATCAAAGAACACAATATTACGATTGGCATATCTATCATGCAAGTCAATGCCATCAAACCTCTGAGGAAACTGCACATAGCATGTCTTCTTTCCAAGAACAGGATCCATCATGAAACACATGGCTTCTTTCAGAGCTTTGCTATTATTAAAATAGTGATCACAATCCACATTCAGAAGATATGCACCATTGGTCAAGACAGCAGATACACGAATCTACATAACAGAAAGTAAACCAAGGTTAGATATGCTTTTAAAACATTTTTCCGGTAAATAAAAGCAGCATCCATATCATACCAAAGCATTACATATTAAAGGAAACGTATAGCTGGTTTGCAGATGGAATAATAATAATAATAATTTCCTGTATTAAATTATACAAAATCCACGTGATCAACTACCAACATTGTTCACATCCTATATTTGAAAACTTGTTACTCAGCAGTTAGTGTATCATTGTGCCATGTTGAATCACAGCATTAGGTTGTAGGTTATTTTCAACATATATTAGTTCCAGCAAAAGCATATGAGTAAAACCCACTGCTACAGATAAAAACCATAAACTTCAATGAGTGAAGCAAGATGCGGATGAAAGCCAGTAATAAAAGCATTAATCAGCAAATCCATGAAACATAAAATAAGAACTTCAGTGTGACAAACCAATGCATTCATAGCTCCAGCCTTCTTGTGATGTTGGAAGCCTGGTCGCTTCTCACGAGAAACATAAACAAGTCTAGGAAGCTCATTTCCATCTGTATCCAGCCCTCCACTATGACCTAAAAACACCTGCAGAAAACAAATATTACAGCTTGAAAATATAAAAACTGCAAAAAGATTATACATGCACTTTGGAGAAAATGATAACACCTGAATCATTCCAGGATGATCCCTAGGATTATTTCCAGGCCAAGGAGTTCCATCCTGCATTGTCCAACCTTCCTCTGGCATCTTCTGAGCTTTGGCTACAAGGGCATTGATCCGTACTTTGAATTCTTCATATTCTCTCTGATAAGAAAAAACATTTATCTTTAAGTTCTAAAACTCATGAACAATAAGGTAGGCCACGGGTGGAGGGATTAAAGATGATATATGCTCGAGTTTATAACTGCGTGCCTAGCTGTCAACAAACTTTTCACTTGGTGCATTAAAGATGTATAGATATAAGTATATAACTGGAAGCAGAAAAACAATTGCCTCAAAAAACAACCTTCATTGCTCGTCGCTCCTTTACAAATGAGGGTTGAATCTTGTCCTTCAAGTAATCAATCTTCTGTTGAAAATAAAACTCCGGGGCTCTTGGTTCAATATTGTGCTTTTTGCAGAAGGGCACCCACTTCTTCGCAAACTCAGCTGTTTCTGATAGTGCTTCAAACGTCAGCATAGCTGAACCATCATCTGATACGTAGCAGGAAACTTTGTCCACAGGGTAATCAACAGAAAGTATAGACAACACCGTGTTTGCAGTTACAAGAGGTGGCTCTTTAAGGGGGTCCACTGTACTCACAAACACATCAACAGGATCTAGCTGTGATGGTTCTCCATCACGATCATATCTAAAAGAATACATGCCAAGATTAGTGACAGAAAAAGCCACATGATTGTTAAACCAAGATGCAAAATCCCAATAAAAGATGAATAAAATGGGCCATCCTGACCTTAAAGCAAGCCGTTCAAGATAAGTCTCACGATTTACTGGAGACCATTTTGGAAACTGATCTAGTATCCAGGATAAGGCAAACCAAATCTCACAAATAACTGATGTCAGCCACAGTGGGTATGCATCTTTCACAGGGTGTGTTACACGATATTGCAAGAAGAAGCCAAGAATAATCAACCGGAGTACAATAACAACACGATAAGGTGTCAGCTGAGATGAAGGAATTGGCACCACACGACTCATGGGTTGTCGAGCATCGTCAACCCTGTCAGGAGAAAATAAATTTAACATAGAATAGAAGAAATGTAAATCAAAATGGATAAATATTGAAAGCTTGTATATTCTGCCTGAAAATATGAACTTAATTGAAAAATATCTAGACCTATAACCATCTTCCCCCTAGCATACACACACTTTCAAAAATTAAAAATGTTGTGACACAAGCACAAGTAAACTATTAATCTATCATATAATGACTGCAACTAAATGCAATCTTCCTAAGGAAGAGAACGTGAATCACCTTTTAAAGATCTTGAGTGTCATTCAAAGAAAAAAATAATAATAATAAGTGTGTAACCAATATTTGCAAAGATTTCTCCAATACTTTCGAAATTATGATCTATAATCATTAAAAGTCAATGAAAATGGTCTGAGTCGTTTACATTTGAAGTTCTTCTCCATTAGAACCAGTCCCTTCAACATCTCCTCCTTTCCCTTCAGCGTATCTACCGGTCATTTGTACCATATTTTTCTCCTGCTTAAGCTTCCAACCTTCAACCCTTTCTTTCCAGTCAACATTTCCCAGACCATAAGAATTTAAGTCCTTTGATGGGTCCACAATTCTTACAGGAACTGTTTTAATAACAAGATTTGGTGAATAAATTTCATAGTAACCAGTAAATCTCACATTGTAGCATCAGTTCTTTAACTCTATACCTGGTTGCCTCGGATCAATATAGGGGAGTGAGTGAACCTTCTCAGATGGCCCCAAAGGACCTGAAGTAGTTCGCACAGATTGAGTATCAGGCGTGGCACATGGAATCTCACCAGACATCTGACCATATTAAGTTAAAAAATGTGATCAGAAGATTACATTACTCTCCAGCCGACCATCAATAAAACAGAAAAAAAAAATGCATTATCCAGACAATTCAACGTAGTAAAAGAGACATCAAAAGTTTAGGCAATAATGTTAAAAAAACGTAGCACTAAATCCTATCTCTGCTCACCATCCTTCTTTTTTGGCATCCCTCACTTCTCACACCCTGGCTAAAGTATAAATATGCAGAGAAAATCTAAAGCATAATCGGCATATAAAAACCACAAAATAATGGATTATATTATTACCGTTTGGCCATTGGTGAGGAGGGGAATTGGCTGTTGAGATTCACGTCTAGACGACGATGAAAGGTCAGCATCTTCCTCCCACTGCCGCCTGGCCTTGGCCTTTCCCTGGGCATAATTGAACTCATTCTCTATGTCATCAGAGTCCACTTCATCTTCATCTCCCTCTACTCGAGGACTCCCTGATATTTTCACAGTCACTCATTCAAATCAAAACTCGATCACAACAACACTTTCACCAAAAAACAAAAACTCGCTAACCTCTGTGCCTCTTGTATCTAGTCTTGCACTGTGGACAAGACTGGTTCCCATCCTTTCGCTCGTATTCATAACAAGGACGACACACGGGGAAGGCGCACTCGTTGCAAGCAACAAACACATCACCAGTCGCAGTCAATCCAACAGTATCACCGCATATTTGACAGATTTGCCCATTCAAGTTCTTCAAGGGTTTAGACTGCAGATTAAGAGAGTTACACTGAGTCATAATCATTCAATTTCTTAATTTCATAATTAATTAAATAAAAACTCGAAGATCGAACTAAGTAACGCAAAAGAACTCCAAACGAAAATCAGATCTGAAGCAGAAGCATAAAACGAGAACAACATTGTTAGGGAGAGTGTCAGAGTTAACTAACCCCGCTGTCAGAAGAATCGTGGCGAATCCGAACGAGCTCGTTCCGTTTGTGCGAGCCAGCGACCATTCCCGCACTCGCTTCCATCTTCACAGAAAAAGTGCTTCAGATCGAAGATCGTGACAGAGCAGAGAGAGATCAATTTGGAGGCAAAAGCAAAGCGTGATAATCTTCGCCCATTCAATACGCCATCTCCTCACTCTCTCTCTCTCTTCACTTGCATACTACAGCTAGCTAAGCTAAGAACACGCTCTCACTCTCTGTTTTATGGTTATTTACTTTACCGGATGAACCCTTTCCCGGTGCCTTCCCAAGCCGCTTAAGCTCCGGCTTTTAAGGCTCGGCTCAGTCATTATATTGGCTTCTTCTCAAAGACCCAATCACATGCAGACACGTGTTAACCACTTGAAAGAGACACCAAGCGATGCGGAGTTTGGCATGTGGAATATTTCCTGAAGTGGCACCAGCCTGTCCGACTTATTACCGGTCGCTTCCGGTTTTCCTTTCACCCGCTGTCGGTGCCACACCATTGACAAATGTGCTCCATCATCCACCAAATTACAGATCTACCCTATTACAAATATAATAACTGGACCGTTACAACTAACACTGATTAATTTGTTGTCAAGATATTGTAACAATAGTATCAGTGACCGACAAAAGAGAATATGTGTCAATTTAATGAAAAGGTATTTTTAAGTTATTTTTATCATATGTAAATTTTATTATATTAAATATAAATAATTTTTTTATGTAATGAAATAATAAAAGTTACTTGTATAACTGGTAAATATTTGTATACAGTAATGTGAAGTTCGAATCTGATATTTGTGTATACTTCATTCATGTTGTCGTCAGAAAATGATATTAACAAAGCCTGCTGTGAATAATTTGAAAGCCAGTTTTATTTTAAGCTTCAAAATCAAAGTAAAAGCATATTTATTTGTCTAAAATCGTTTGCTAGTTTCCTCTTAAAAATAAATAAATAAAACAAGATGTTGAATGAGTGGTACTTGGAAATGTTGGAGTTTGGACAGAACATTGGGTAAAACATTGTTTTCGGGTTTCTGTCAGCAGTTGCACTTTATACTAATTCAAAAAGGAACCTACACAGTTCAAAAATATGCCCATTGGAAGCTTATGTAGGATTACAATAATACTATAAATTACACACGTCAAAAGTAGTTGTTAATTTAAATCATTGCATTAATAATTGTAATCAATATTTTCTTCTAATAAATAAATATTTATTTATGACTCGAAATATTTATTCATTATCTTCATCCAATTATGTTTCTGGTTAGGATCTTTTATAGTAAAAAAGTAAAGGAATTAAATTTTAAAAAAAATTTGTTTCATAAAAAATAAAAATATAAAACTTTACATACAAACGCCGGATTCAAATTGCTTAGAGGCTTAGTCATATGAACTCTAAAAAATCTTTGATTATATATATATCTAATGAGAGAGTTCATTTTTAAGTGAGTTCTTTAATTATACCGACAACCTCGCGGACCTACTTCCTGTAATTTCTTCTATTTTTTTTATAAGAGTTAAAATGGTAATAGGCATTACAAACTATGAATCTTAAAAAAAATGAAAACGTTACAATAATAACATGATTATTGCTTGGGCAACACCTGTTTCTATATCTGCACTTTAGAGGCATAGAGAAAAGAAAAAGTGGACTGTATATAATATGAGATGAGTAAAAGTTAAGAATAAATTATCACTTAAGACTTTAATTTTTTATCTTCAAATTACACTTATATACTTTATTTTTTTAATTATTACAGTGACTTCTTTCAAAGAGTACACTTGTAATTGATAATCATGTTTTTAATTGAACATATAGTATTTGCTTTTAAATTACAATTGTCTACATATTTAACTATTACAATTTTTAAACTTTTTTTTGTAAATTAAAATAAAGAAGTATTGCTATGTTTTGCAAGTAATTTATTTTTAAGCAGACGAAGAAATTAAAGAATCTCGCATAGACTTCGAAAACATCAAACTACTTGCAATGAAAGTGAATTTATTATATTTTAATTATTTTATTTGGATAGAATATTTTAATTATTTTTCAATACAAAATATTTATTTTAACTTTATACTTATCAACAACAAATAATCAATACATACTTCAACAGAAAAATGTAATTGATATCCATTAGTTTCAAATTAATATTGACTCATACTCCTACAATTTGAGAAATAATTTCATTAATGTAGATAAAAAATTCCTAATTTGTATTGACTAAAAAATAACTTTACTAATCTTGAGTAATAAACCCATTATCAGTGGAGGTTGAAAAAAATTTATAATTTACATTTATGTGATATTCACAACCTATATTAACAAAAACATAATATTGAAAAAGACGAAAAAAAATACTTTAACATGGAAGAAATTAATTCGAACTAACCGCAACATATATATATATATATATATATATATATATATATATATATATATATATATATATATATATATATATATATATATATATTCTATACAATTGTAAAATTTGTCAGATCTTACAGCACAAAAACAGAACCATAGAAAAAAATCTTCAAGCCGTCTCAGGAACATAGCGCTGGTAAGGAAGACGATGATCTGGAACTCCCTCCTCAGCACGTTTGTCTTCAAACCACTTAACAACTCTTTTTCGAGGAATGTTTGTTACATGTACAATGCTGCTGATCATTGCATTCTGCATTGATTCGAGGCATACAGACAAGGGTATCAAATTTAACAAAATTCGTAGTAAGGAAAACTATGAAACGATTATAGTAACTAAAAAATTGTGTAGTTGCTTTAGGCGTTTTCAGTGTTATTCTCCAAACAGAATAGATTCACCTTTATACAAATTAGCAGATAAAACTTCAATTGTGATTAGAGAATAAAACAAAATGCATGACTCATGTTTGCCATTATCAAATGCAACATATCAATATGTACGTGGTAATGAAAGTTAAAAAACAGAGTAGTTTGATTAGGCAGACTTTTCTTTCTTTTCGTCAGCCTCCTTTTTTTACTTCATTTTGTGAGAGTAAAGGTAACAACAAGTGAAATTGTGAAAAAATAGTGTTTATTGACTTTCATTGTGTGTAAGAGGGAGTGCGTGTATGAGGGAATGAAGTCTCTATATCTCATACAAATATGGATGGAACATTTACCTTGAGCTCTGAGAATTAGAACCATTGATTGACTGTCATTTTAGTAATCGAAGTACATGTCACGAAATTTTCAAACAAAAAATGACACAGAATCATGAAACACAAAGGTATTGAATTTATACAATCTAACTGTTTTGCATAAAACTTTAATACTAGTAAAAGATGCATTATTTGAAGTTTCACCCTTAAAATTTTTTATTCAAGAGGGAATAACTGCTAGTAAAATAGCGAAAAAGTAAAATAAATCAGAAAAAGTAATGGATCATCGTCTATCACAAAACTTATAATATTGTAGCATGATAAAGGCACTTACAGTAGGTCGTTTTGATTTCCTATAAACTCTCTCCAGAGTGTCAACATGGACCTTCTTCAATCGCTTTTGAGCATACCAATTACGTTGCAAGGTATGAACAGGTACTTTAGCCTCGGGTTCAGATTCAACTTGATCAATACTTGTTTCTTGAAGGAGAATCTCACTGGGCTTAGTTTCAAGTGATACTACTGTTGTTGCAGGTTCATCAGGTATAGTAAGACTCATCATTAAGAGATTTGGAGGAGGTTCACGAAGTAACTGAAGAACAAGAGCCCTATCAAGACAAAGATCGGCAGCAAGATTTTTTATCTGCAATAATTCAAAAAGTGAACTTGAGGAATGGAATCCCGAAATTGATATAAGGGACGGTTCTAGCAACATTACCTTTTCATGTTAAGTATTCATGTGTGCATAACAATAAAATGAATCCATTCATGTACGCTTAACCCTTAAGATGTGGAGAAAACAAAGAAAAAATTATCTTATCTAAAATTCCCGAGGAGTAAGCTCTTGACATGGTTCAACCCAATATACTCTAACCTTATTTTACTGATCTAGTCTAATCCTGTTTTGACCGATCCATTAATCCTATTCACTTGTATTAATCTTGTCTTTCCGCAAGTTTTGTAAGAATTCTGGAAATGAAATTTTTTCTTTTTCTTTTTTCTCCTCCTTGAAAATTGGGTAACAAAATACATTTAATGCGAATCAAGATTTTTCAAGGAAAACGTCATTAAAATTCATTATTAAATTTATATTCAAGGCAAAATAATCCTTCAATACAGTGTCCATGACACACCTATGATTAATGATTTTCTCCTAATTTCTCTTTAACTTAACCATATGGACACACATACTATGAAACACTCCGTTTTTGGATGTCACAAGTAATTACAAGAAAAACTTAAATTTATTAAAATGCCAATAAAGGAAAACTTATTCCAATCCTAGTAACTTCCAAAAAAAATTCTGAAATAACTACGGTACATAAAATGGAAATGCTTAAAAGTAAAACACTAACAACTCTCAAACTCTCCCCAGCTTCTCATTGCTCTATTAATCATTTGGAGCATCAGTAATAACATATGCTTGCATATAATAATACGAGTGATACGATCATCGCAACACACAACAAAAAGTAAGGGTAAGCTACCAAATAAAACATCCAACTAAAGAGTATAAACAATATCCAACATACATCAAACCAATGCAATCAACAGATCACACCAACCAGATTAGCTCAATCACATGTCAAACCCAAAAAGCATCAATACTATCTAGTTACAACCCATGTGTCGTCCTCCCGTACCTTACCATACAAAACCTATTCACCAAAACAAGATAGTTCGAGTCGTCCTCCACCGCAGTTTTGGACCTATCTCTCCTGCTTCTCCAAGACTTATGAGTAAAAACTCCGCTGTTATCATAATGGGCACTATACTCAGTTCAAATTGGAAACCTATGTTCCCTTTCTACCCCCTCGAAAGAGGAAAGACCATTACTCGAACCTCGGTCCCTGCCACCACCCTTGATAGGCGAAGAGACCTGTCTCTTCTATCGCCCCTAAAAGGTGAAGAGATACCATCACTCCATTGTCCATCATGGACAAAGGCACAACCCCTGGATTTACAAGATACAGCCAGGATACACACTAACCACAACGACCCTTCACCCTGACTCTCATCAATTCGTTAAGCACAAAAGTAGCACGTGATTTGGCTTTATAACTCACAAAACAGATCAATAC